AACTGACACACAATACAAGACAATAACTACACAACACACTAACTACAGCCTCCAAACACGCTAAACGTCACTAATGTCTCACATATGAAAACTCGCTCTCTCTCTCTGCCTTTCGCTCGCCCGCTTTCCATTGTGGGTGTCACTCCTAAAAACTTCCCCTTCTCCCTAAACAACCAAATGTCACATGTTACCTTATCATTTTTTTGATGGGCTTACATGGTAAACTCTAACACCAATAGGGAAGGGGTGTTTTTTCTTTTTGTTTTTTCATTCGCAAAGGGAGAGTGTTTGCTAGCGATGTCTGTAGAAAAATAACAGTTTGTACCATTCTTCCCGCTGTAAACACCACTGTTTTGTTCAGAAAAAAAACATTGCGTGTATTTTTTATTTTATAACTCTGGTTTTACGTGGCCCATGACGTGCTGCATCCTGTAGCTGTGTCGTCTTAAATTGGTCATGTGATTTTGACACGCCGGTGTGTCCGGCGACCCCAGAGGGTTAATTACTAAATAAGTAATTTAACTAAATACTTCTTAAAATCCCTATAAACCTTGAATGTTATCCACGGATGATGAACAAGGATCACTCAGAAGTGTTCGTCTATGCTGTCGTGTCAGGCGCTTCAGTAGATTACTCGTGCTATTAACAGCAGACGATAGTTTTTTGTCCCCAGGACATAGCTTACATATTACTGTAATGTTCGTGTCTGCTTGTTTCAGAAAAGTGAAGAGACGGGAATATGTCCATTTCAAAAAACAGCCACTCGCTTCAGCTGAGTCCGACATCTTCCGCTTTAGAATACGACTATGCAGCAAACTGGCGCGAAATGACGTACACCTGCACTACAGCGATGTTAAAGCGGCAGAGTTTACTTCTACATTTAGAAGATAAATCATTGAAATTAAATAATGATATTCAGCGAGTTTAATTATTTTAAAATGTAACGCAAGTGCGTTGTAAGTAACTGTAATTAAAATACCTAAAAATGAACAGTAATTAGTTACTCTACTTTTTCAGTGGAAAAGTAATTTAATTACAGTAACGCGTTACTTAATAACGCATTACACCCAACACTGGAAATTAAAAATGCATGCCATGAAAGAGTTCGGGTGTTAGGAGGTTAAAGTACCACGTTATAAAACCGGAAGTCTGTCCAGGAGCTGCTGCTGTCTTGTTGTTACACTAAAATAAAAAGACCAAACCAACTGAATTACCCCAGAAAGAACATGCAGATGGCAGGGTGGAAATACATTTTTTGGCTAGATATTACCATTTGGGGTGTAAACTAAGGTAGTCTAGCCCCAATTTCATTGGCTGAGCCTCCAACATTTACAATATAATGTAGTCATTTTTAATAATAATAATCAATTTGTCATTCTACCATTATAAAGAATTAGTGTTCAGTGTATGCTCGGCTTAAATTGACTTCCATGGGCTTGTTCTCAGCTGGCCTCAAGCAGGGTCAGCTTCATCATGTGAAAGTATTTGTGAAAGGATGTTGCACAGGTGTGGTGTCTCTGTGGTCTATTATTGTTAGGACTAGCCACAAACATAATGTGTTGTACACGTCAAGTGACATGTAGAGAGAAATCCACAATAGACAATGATCATTTGCTTTAGTTTATATATCCACTGCCTTGAATACACATGAATGTTATAAAGTTTACCTTACTCGTTCTGGTGGCAGGTCAGATGAGCTGCCTCCAGAACAAAAAGAATTCATTGGACAAGGATGAGGGTGTTGTCAGGCAAATAAAAGCTCTTGATTGTGTTTGAATTAGTCATTTCTTTCTGACTTGAAGCTGCATACAGTTGCTCAACACAGGCAAACTGACACTGAGAAGGACAAACAAAAGGTAATTTTACAGTCGATTTCTTTCTTCATTATTAATGAATAATTAGTAGTTTTCTATTAAATATCAGTACAGTACATTATGAGCTGACTGCAAAAGTAACATTTCCTAATATGTTTTTCAAACGTTATCATCAGATTTCATTTCTGCACCATGAAGATGCTGACTGTGTTTCTGCATGTGTGTGTCATGATGACTTTCACACACAGTCTGTGTGAGTATTTAAAACAAGTATTTTTTCCCTCTCACTTTTTCTACTTTATACATACATATATACTCTGCAGATACAGAATATACATGCAACACATGATCAGAGAAGGGAATGTCTTATACAAAAAAGAATTGTGTTTCAAATAAAACGTCTTTCAAACTGTCTTTGCAGCTCTTCCAGAGGAAACAACCATGCCAGGTGAATCTAAAAGTTGTCTTTTAATGAGAATATATTTTTTCAATCCATTAGTAAATAATGGAAGTTATTGCACTACAAAATTAATTGGAACCAAAGAACATTTTAACTCATGCAGATGTAGACAATTGGGGAACACCGCCACCATCTACAGAAGGTGAGTACTTATTGGAGTATGTGATTTTATTTTATTCTATTTTATTTTTTTCCTTCTTTAAAATTAAAGTTGAGCATAAGAAAAATCTATACTGTACAGTCGTGGCCAAAAGTTGTGAAAACAAGTATTTCTGTCATTCTCAAAAAGTTTGCTGCTTCAGTTTTTATGATAGCAATTTCCATATACTCTACAGTAGAATGTTTTGGAGAGTGATCAGATGAATTGCAAAATCCTTATTTGCCATGAAAATGAACTTAATCTCAAAAATTCAATTTCCACTGCATTTCATCATTCAGCATTTCATGCCATAAA